TATATATATATATATCTTGCATCGTTGGTTTATCGAATTAAGCACCATTTTATGTTAGGTTCTAGAACAAGTTTTATTTTCATAACTACAGTACTTCAGTTGTATTGTTTAAATAGATTATATTTAAGAGAATAAAACTGTTTACTAATAAAATTATCGTTTTGATTTAGTTCTATAAATCACAGTATCAAAAGGTTCCAACTAACTAGTTTTGAGGGAAACAAACAAATCTGATTATTTTTCTTAGATTTAGAGATCCAACAAAAGGGTGTACCATAAAATAGTTTGTCTGATTAAAATTTCGAAACGATATAAATTCTTTTTCACATATTTACCCAAAACATCTTTAGTCAAATCAATGAAAAATATTTAGGTCTCCCGGAATGTATCCAAGGTTTCACCTTTAGGATAAAACTTTAATTTTCAGTGCAAAAATTTAAAACAAATTTTAGTTTCTAAAAAAAAAAGTGCATGAAACATTTCTGGCGACAGTAAATAAATACTCATTAAATATAACATATCTGGAATTCATATGAAAACCTTAAATTTAATTTACAATAAGATATTTTAAATTTTAGTCTAAGTTTTATGCTAGCTTATTGGATTAAATTAAAGTTTCCAAAATGCTACATTGAATATTTTGTTTTGTTATTTTACATTCCAAACTTTATATTTTTAAACTTGAAATTGAAATTAATTTTAGATTTATGCTTTCAAAAAAATTAAAATTTACTTTTCTGACCCTAAAAAAATTTAAATATTAAGCTTATTCTGGAAGACCTGAATTTTTTTTCAACTTAACTATCTATTAAGTATGTGACCACTGGGTCATTTTTTTAAATAAAATTTGAATCTTTTATTTTTGAAAAATAGGATTTAGAAATAGGGTTTTTCGAAAAATAGGATTTTTCAGATATGATAAAATAAGAGTTATTTTTAGGAATAGGTGCACTCTAATGTACAATACAATAAGAAATAAAAAAATTTGTAGAAAGAAAGATTCAAAGTAAAGTTTTATTTGTTAATATCACAATCGTAAAACACCAATATATGTATTAATCCACACGAAACTAGTTGAGTTTCACAAATTCCCTAAAATGTCATTTAAAAGTTATTCTTTAAGCTCTTTAATTACTTATTTGACTAATTCAGAAGACAAAATCGACAATACCTCAGTTGCTAGTCTAGGATGATGTTCTAAAACGTTAATCCAATTTGCCGATTTAAATATTCTCGCAACATGAGCTTCGATACGCCGTATAGCGGATGCTTTCAATAGATTCATCGCCACCATATCGGCAACAACGAGTATTTGGCACGCGTTTATCTCACACAAATCCGAAATCAAGAAAGAAGAACAATACTCTTTTAACGAAAGAACTTGGTACCTATCAGCGCACAACAATAACTTCAAGGCGTCTTCATAAGTCTTGAACTCTGTTTCTCCCATGTATAAGAATTTAAGGAACAGCCCGAATGTTTTGGGATCCACGTCTGATATGTCAACAAAACTGGTTTCCTTTTCGGTCATGTTTTGACTGAACATGGCTAAGAAAACGGGAGAGCGAGCGCACAGAACACATTTATGTGCCAAGAATGTTTCATCAAGAACCCTCAATTTAACATCACTCAGAATTTCTTCCAAATACATCCGCTGAAAATCCCCTTGCAAAGTGTGAACGGATGATTCTGCAATTATATCGCTCTGAATGTATTTAAGTTCTGTGGGCAAAGTTCCATTTGAGATATGGCATTCACACAGCAAAGTAACAAAGCTGTTGGCTTCATATTGTTCCTTTAAAAAATTCTTTGTAATGGTTGAAACAAATTTCCATTCATCTGCTCTTGAAGGAAACCATCCGGCAGACCTTCTAGAGCCTATTTTAGTACCATCGACATCTATGAAAGAGATTTTACACTGCAAAAATTGAGAATCAGAATTTTGTTTGGTTCTTTTAATCAAAACACTGACAGAATCATTTAATACAGAATTAACCTCTAAAGCAACTTGCATCCCTAGAAAACATGGGAATGTCTTACATTGAGGGAAGCTCTCCTCAGCGAATTTCCACTCAAAAGAATACTGATCGCCACCAACTTTTGTTCGAGCAATGCATTCAATATCTTGAGTACCATTAAACTCTTTGCTTAGCATTACCAAGCGGATAGTCATAACATCACCAGAATACTTTTCGTCAGCCACAATTTGCCCATTGATGCATGTATCAGGAATTAAAGTAGCTAGATCTCCTTTTGCAAATTTGTAAATCTTAGGTACGTTGCACGAATAGAGTTTTCGGGATGAGCCAATTAGCTCAACAGTGGTACCTATTTCCAGTTTCTCGCGTCTATCGCAAGATTCGCTTCTTTTCAAAACACAGGAGATGTATCTATTATACGAAGTTCTAGATTTAGAAAATAATACAATCCACTTCGTGCCTTTAAATGGTTCGATCTGGAATTCAGGACTTATTAGCTGCTCTTCGCTTTCGAAAAAGTAGGAAAAAAAGTTTTCAATGCTCCAGGAAAAAATATATTTTCCCGTGTAGACACTCATGTCTGCGAACTTTCAACACAAACCAGTTCCTAAAAAAGCACCATTCTCTCCCGATATCAACAGCTGAAAGTACTTTAGTTTCACAAAGAATTGATAAAATTTGGCGTCAGATTACCGGTCAATGAGGGAGTATTATCTTTACAATGGAAATCAGAAACTGAGCTTTAATCAACTGATTCAGTAGATAATGACGTCAACTAGCAAGCGAAACACAAAAGCAAAATTTTTACAGCTTTGAGTTTGGTTTTCTCGTCTGAAATATTCGTAATATTTAGACTGGAGAGGCTCATTTAAATCATTTCTGTTTTTATATTTCCTATAATATTAAAAAAAATAATTTGTAATCAAATATCTTTAAACTATGATGATATGGACTTATAAACCTGAAATTCTGTTGAATGCACGAGTGTGTAGAAAATATAAAACAATTAAATAAATTTTGTAAACAATATCACTCACTTTTATAAATAACAGCATACCTGAATATCTTTTTATCTAATGATAGGATTCCTTCGTACTAACTTGTAATATTATATTATTTGGACGAATGGACATGAAATAGACTAATTAATTGCAGCAAAGGAAATTTTAAATTACGAAAGCGGGTGCGAAAACGTATCGACTCTGAATAAACAGACGTCCGTCCCGTAGTGGACTGATCGTTAAGAAACGGTTCCCAGTAGAACAACAAAGTCAAGCATCACTGGCTGCTGTCAGTATGCGGGTGGGTGACCACTTGGATCAGTCTACGAAGGGATCGAGGGTGTGCGGTATCGGTCCTCGTTAAACTGTTCTACCATAAAGTGCTCGACTTCGCGCGCAGGTCGTCGGGTGACCGAAGCGTGGATGGCATCCCCTCCGCAGAGGATCAAAATTATGATGGCATGTCTTCGGATCATTCTTAGGGATGATTCCCGGACCGTCACCAATAGCCCATTGTGCAGCTTTAGTGTGACGTAAATAAAAAAACTACAACTGAATAAACAGACTTTATTGCTTTATTGAAATTGCATACATTTGTAGGCTTGTGTGCTTAATTTAAGCTCATAATTTTTTTTTCAAGTAGAGGGACAAATAGAACGATTCAGAGAAAGACATCGCGAAGAATATTTAAGGTTACAGCGGGATTCGAACCCGCCACCTCCAGTCTTCGCACATCATTTACCGGGCGATACCACTATCCCAGGGAAGCCTCTAAACAGACTTTATATTTGATTCTAAATATTTGGTAGTTAGCCGTATTCTGTTGAATACGATCCCAATAGTTTAATAAGGAAAGCGGTCAAAAGTTTGAACATTACCCTTTTTGCTTAGTAAGTCATATCTCTGAAGTTTTTGATGAGAATCAAACAATTTTCGCTTAACATGAAACTCTTTTATCTTACTCTATAGACCCTTTTGATCTATTACACTTCAAATCTATTCTGTTGTTGTTGTTGTTCATTTGCGTCGCACTAGAGCTGCAGAATGGGCTATTGGCGACAGTCTGGGAAACATCCCTGAGGATGATCCGAAGACATGCCATCACAATTTTGATCCTCTGCAGAGGGGATGGCACCCCCGCTTCGGTAGCCCGACGACCTGCACGCGAATCAAATCTATTCAATCAGTATCTTAAAAATAGCGACCCTATTCGTAAAAAAGTATGAGTTGGTTCTAGTGTTTGATAGTGATACTAATGTTTAGATGTTAGTGATACTAATGTTTGATATGCAATCAAGCATTAGTATGATTTTGACATTTAAAAGTAGTCACACAGCGGAGTGATACTCAAAACACGGTTCCCAGCAGATGCACAGAAGTCAAGCATCACTGGCAGTGGTGAGTGGGCGGGTGGGTAACAAATTTGATCAATCTGTGGAGGGACCGAGGGTGCACGGTATCAGTCTTCGTTAAATTGTTATACAGTAAAGTGCTGGACTTCAAGTAGTTGAGCTTGACAGCTAGGATCAGTCTGCTTAGGGACCGAGGATGTGCGGTATGGGTCCTCGTTAAACTGTTCTACCGTAAAGTGCTCGACTTCGCGTGCAGGTCGTCGGGCTACTGAAGCGGGGATGCCATCCCATCTGCAGAGGATCAAAATTGGGATGGCATGTTTTCGGATCATCCTCTGGGATGTTTCCCAGACCGTCGCCAATAGCCCATTGTGCAGCTCTAGTGCGACGCAAATGACCTACAACAACAATATAATTGTTTTTTGCTTGCTTTCTGCTTATTCGTATTTCAAACATCATAATGTCTACCACTACGCCGCTGGAAGTTAATGGGCCTCAGATTCTTAGGATAGGATCGTTTCTATAGGATCGTTTTTTGCTTTTATCAGTGTAGTCGGCACTTGACTCAGATTTATGTATTTGTCATTGTAGGTAAGTTTATTTTTCCTTATTGATAAAGATAAATTTTATGAAACTTTAAACATTTGAGTTGCTATTTTTTCCCTAAACTCGTCGTGTTCAATGGTTTCCGAATATAAGTACTATTTATAGATTAATTATTTTTCAACTACTAAATATATAATATTAATACCTTTTGTTTATAAAGTCGCTCTATACAGCGAACGTTTCAGCTATCATTTTTAATGTAATTTATCTTCTGTAATCTAGTCATCCTTGTAGTGTTAAAATTTAATGGTATTTGGAATCTTTCAGCAAATCGAAATATGTTGAGTAATTCCATTAATTTCTTAAATTTCTAGGTTTATGAACTAGTTTCTAATTAACTAATTTATGCAAACACCTGTTTATAGTGAATTGTTAATAAAGGAAAAATTTCTTGAGGAAAGATTTTTGACCCTGTCGAAGGTTATTGAGTTCGCAAAATATATTTTGTTCCTCAGCAGCTCTAGTCTACATTCTTATCCAGTGAAAATACGTGCTAAGTTTACGAAGCAAACCTTTGCCTCGCATTTTGGAAAGATTTGACATTTTCATTCCTTTTTGTTTTCTGAAAGGACTTGTCTGTGATGATTTTTTGTTTTACAATTCTCTTAGTGTAGTTCCAATTGTTATGTTTAACTCCTTTAATGGCTTTTAAAATAAAACTTCCTATTTATTTAAAAGCGCATTGGACGGTAATAAGTCTTTCCAACATTTTTACAAATGTTCTGAAACTATTCAAACTATCCAAGCGTTTTCTTTCTCGTTAGAAAAATTAACTGGAAATTAGTGTAAAAAGACAGCGTCAGGTAAAAATTTTTTAATTTAACCGCAAAAACTATTAACGCGAATTTATGCAATAATCTTTAAATGTAAGCTTCAAAATTTTCTTAAAAATTATTGTATATGCTTTAGAAATGGTGCTTTTTCATTTTAAATTAATGAAAAAGCAATGTTTAGGGTACTTAAATCATAAGTTTTTTTTTCTTAGTTTATTTTCCGGTAGTTAAAAGTAATTCTCAGTTTTTTTTTTTTTTTTTTAAATCAAAACTAAAGTTCTAGGTGTAAGTCTTAAGATCCTTCCCCGTATTTTTCCCGTTCAATATGTGCTATTGACAATCTCTTTTAAAAATTAATGTTATTTTAAACTTGTGCATTGATTTCAAATTTCAATTAGTAAAGTTACCCGGTACTTTTTTTCAAATCTAGGGTCAAATTATAACTACAAATTTCTAGCTTGATGCGTGGACTTATATTCCGAAAACTACATTGTCTGCCCGGGGATTGTCATCGGTGGATGCTAAGATGATCTTACATCTGGAGATAGAAAGTTACGGTAAGCACTTTGTTGGATTTCTTAACAGATTTTTTTTCTAAGCTTTCTGTAGTTTATGTAAAAATTTCTAATTTTGCAAAAGTTTTATCCTGTAAATAAACTAACCAGCTTAATTTTTAAATATAAGTTTCTATAACTTCAGCAAATAAAGTACTGAAGTAATTTTCATTTAACATAAAAATTAAGCCTTTAAAGCTACTTTTAGTTTAACTATTCTTAAACATCTCAGATAGCATAACAGATAGTAACGAGACGTAGCTGGGTCTTTTACACATTTTGTCCGCTTAATTTTGCCACCTTGAAATTGGTGATTATATCTGTATCCGGCTATTATTAAAATATTACATTTTCTTCAATCAAATTTAAAAAAATATTTAATGCTCTAAAACATGATATTTTATGTAAGTTCATTTTAAAAGCAGTCTTCTAGAAAAATATACTTTTGAACACTTTTGTTTCACAACCATTAGTCTTTTCCCCAAATTTAATCAACAGCCGTTTGGTTGCCTACAGTACAGTAAACCTGGTTTTTTTGCTCTTAAATTCTACGTTCAATTCTTATGAGAATATTAAGTGCAAAAAAGCGTTAAATAAGCGTAAGAAGTTTTTTTTTTTTATATTAGTGTTTACAACGTCTGGAACATCTTTTCCGAGAGATTTCAAAACTGGAATAGATTTGATGCATTTTACCTATTTAAAAAATCTATAATTACATTTTATACAGGAAATTATGGGAAATTTTGAATTGGAGGGACAGTTTTCGTTTACTCAATATATTATACACATTAAGTTTTAAATTATTGAAATTTATTAAATATTTTACTTATCAGACAGAATTCAGAAAACTTCTTATGTTTTCCTTTTATCTAGTACATTACTTTTCATGACAATATAAATCTTGTTCCATGTATTCTTATTTTTTCATTAAATTTCAGTATTTAATCTTAGCATTTTCTACCAAGTGGTGTAAAGGAATTTTTTAAAATTTAACTTCACATTAAAGTTTTATTTCACCTAACTTTTGGAGTTTCGTTTTGTAAAGTTTAACTATTATTTTCCACCAGATTATTCTAGATATAAAAATGAGCATATGCTATTCTTACCATGAAATGACTTGATTACTTAACTGATTTGCGAAGCGAGTCTTATTTTAGGAATTTGAGCTCCATTTTAGGAACTTGAGCTCCATTTTAGGAACTTGAGCTCCATTTTAGGAACTTGAGCTCTATTTTTGGAGCTTGAGCTCTATTTTTGGAACATATGAGCTCTATTTTTGGAACATGAGCTCTATTTTTGGAACATGAGCTCTATTTTTGGAACTTGAGCTCTATTTTTGGAGCTCTATTTAGTTTATTCTGCGGAGATAAAACTGTGCATTTTAGAAATAAATGAGAATCAAAATTCTGCTGCAATATTTACATGATTTTTGTTTTCAGATGGGTGAAACTTAATCTGTACGATGATTGGACATCGACAAGATTGTAGAAAAAGTAAACTAAACATTTCTTTCTATCGTCATTTGATTATTTTTTTCATGGCACTTTATATATGCACTTGTATTGGGCAACCTTACAGTAGGAAAGAACTTATTATGGATATTGATTAATTAAAACTGGAACTGATGGAATTACAGGCACGAATATCAAATGTTATGTTTTAATGTTAAACCCTATACAAACGATGTGCAAAGCTTATAAAGTTGAGAATTTGTTGTCAATAACCATAAATTGAAACAGGAAATTATTCTAGTGATTTTTTTAAAAATTAAAATCCCTTTGAGACAAAATTTCCAAGCTTTGGAATATTAGGGATTTAGTGATTATCTTCTAAAAGCTAAACTTAGTGAGAAAAGCCTGAATATGATAAAAATCGGGTAGGTAATTTCCCAGCAAAAAAGCTTTTTAAATTTGGTATTTGCTAGAAAATTTAATATAAATATGCATCGAATGCTTCTTAGCTAATTTTTTATAATTTTTATTTAATAATTCGAAGTTTATCGATAAAAGTTAAAATAGAAATTTTAGTTTCTAAAACATTGACTCGTGACCATAGACACAGATTAATTTACCTTTGTTGATGAAATACTGTCTTTCAGATTTAATAAAATATAGCACAAGAGTTTCTACATTGAAGAAAGTTTCATCATTTTTAGAAATTTTGAGTTCATATCCTTTTTTAAACATAATATAAAAATCCTCAGACTTTATAAATATTTCAGTATAATTTAGCAAATTTCATTCTTAAAAAATTTATTCTAAAAATTTTTCATACTTTATTGGAAGTGGGACTAAATCTGAAATTTGGCGGTAAGTCGAATTTATCAAACTAAAAACTTCTAACATTTTATTTTTAGAAGAAACGAAATTTTGTGTATACTTAGTTTTTTTCTCAAACCCATTTTTACAGAATCATTCCTTTAAGGATAGATTGCACAGCAAATTTCCTGGACTGCATTTTTCTTTAATGGAACCTTCAAGATGTTGAATTGGGACAAGTTTTAAAAAGTTGATTTTTCGTATTTTTACAATAAATTCAAAGCTATTTCACTAGAACAAAGTAAAATTAAGAAATCTGTTTAGAATTTAAAAACCTTGCCTAAGATACAAAAGAGTCTCGAAGAGATGAATTTAATATTTTTGTTCAATAATTTTCAGTTATTCAATGACTTTATCTGTTTTTCTCATATTATATACTATTCACGATTATGTCAAATATAGTATTCTGCCCAGTTTTTAATGATTCTTAGCTTTTATGGTGCTTTACGCTAACCATAAAATTTAGAGTGCAAGTAAATTTAAACTTTACAGACATTTTAAATGTAGAAGAATTCTAAAACTCCATGTTACGTTTAATAAAGTAAAGACATCGTGAACTAAAGAGTAAAAGTAAATTTTTAATAGCCTAAGTTTTTAATGCTTGTCTAAATAGTTTTAAAATTTTAAAATGAAAACGTGCAAATTAAAAAAAATTGGGTACTTGAATGCTCCCTTTTAAATCTATGAATTTTCTTTGAATTAATATAAGAGATATTTAAATGTGACTTTATGCAATTCCTAAATTTTATGCACACATTCTTTAAAAGCCTTTTTTAAATTTATAGTGATAAAATAATTGTTCCCGCTTGTTGTTTCATATTTGAATCTCTAATGAACTATTGTCCTAGAGAATGAAATGTGATAGTGGATTACAATTTGCTAATTTCGCTTTGAATTTGACTGAGATTATTCTTTGTTTAAGTACAATAAATTTAGTATTCTAGGACAAAAATGTAAAATATTTTACTGTTTCTGTAATGGTTTGTCTTTATGAATCAGTGTTTCATTTATAGAATCGGATTGAAAGAAACTAAATATTTTTCAAAAGTCAAAATGTTTAGTAGTAATGATAAGTAATTAATCCTAATACGTCAAAATTTAGTTGAGAATCTGAAAACTACTGCCGAATCTTGAATGAACACTATCAGGATTGTATCAGGCTTTCTCGCAAATTAAAAAATTAATTTTTACATTATTTAAAATATTTGAAACTCTATTTAAAATAGTTCAAAACAATTAAAACTTAAAAAACCAGTATTATCGTGATATCTCTGTGCTAAAGATTTGCTAATGGGGAGCAAACAGCTGGTTTTATTACTTAAAATGAATACATTAAAAGCGTTTTAGCTACCGTTGCCCCTGAGATCAATCTAAATGTATAATTTTTGTTTCATTTCATCCAAAATGGATTGATTTTTCACAAATAGCTATCGTAGAGCCGTGGTGGCTTAGAAGGACGGAGCGTTCGCCTTCCAATGAGGTAACCCGATTTCGAATCGAATCCCGAATGGCTGGTCTATAAGAATTCCACACCCAGATCACACCGACCACAGATCTGACGTAAAATATCCTCATTGGTGAACGGATTATGAGTTAGTCCCAGGTTAACAGTGGGATGTTTCTGTGGTTTTCCTTTCCATGTAGCACAAATGAAAGTTCGATCAAGAGATCAAGACAAATTTCTCCCAATACTAACTAGATCCAGGAATTCCCTTGTCTTATGAATTAGGTTGCATGGTTCAATAGTGAAGAGCAAAAAATTAAGTACCCTGCCTTAATTTGACGATATTTTGGCCACGTGAGTTAAGTTAGATTGTGATAGTGTACTGAAAATTAGTTTTCCAGGGACAACCACGGATGCAGAAATATTTTTTATAAGCTTAAGTTCAGACAATGCCTCTATGACAAATTCACTGATCTTTAAGCAAACTATGAGCCACAGATCTAAAAGATAAGTGTAGAAGCTTGAACGGAAAATTCCTACAAGTCTGAACAGTATGATGTCCGAATTGGTAGAGGTAGAAGGCCGTTCTGCGCTCCATCTTCGAGCTTCACACTCGTTCAGAAGTCTCTGAATTTACTCTTGTACAAAGTTCACAGATTAGTAAGTGTAGGAATAACCATGGAGTCGAGGACCTGGATTGTAAGTTGAGTCGTAGATTCGCGACTTGAAATCTCTGGGAAGTCCCAGCGCTTGCAAGTTATGAATTTCCACATGCGTGTCAACTATTCTAATCAAATTGTTTCAATCAAAAGTTTAAAGGTCTCTGCTGGCCTAGTGACTAAGGTTCTGGACTGTGACACTAGGTCTTCAGGTCCGTCTCCTGAAGTCTTGGAAGAACCTGACCTCGAAGAGTTAATAGCATAAAAGCTTTTTGTAGAATATTCTAGTTCTAATTGAGCCAATCTCTTCCAGATTAGAGAACATAAAATTACTGGTCTTCTTTGACTAGTACAAACAGTAGTCTCAAAAAATGATTCGTCTCTCTCATTCAAACTTTAGTTCCTCTCGTGTCTTCTCTGTGACTTCTTGATATTGATGAATAGCCTGTTTACTTCTGGCCCGGATGACCCAGGAAGTATTATTCGAATCTGTTCAACACAAAATGGTTTTACTTCCAAATTAAGTTTCACATTAATGCAGTATATTATAGGTGGTAATGTACGAATAAGATTTCTTAAACTCTCAATAAGCTATAGTCTAAAACTTAAATTAACATAAACTTTCTCCTTTAAAGGGCAAAATTCCTCGAAAGGTAAGTTATATATTAATAAGAGGCATTAGTGCAAAATTTACGATTGAATAAAGTGATTTAACCATTTAAAAGGAGAAAATAAGTTAGTTTTCAAAATTTCTTTACAATTATGACTAAGTTACAGAAGTTCAGGGAGAATAAAGATTTAAATCAAACTCTTACTTTCGTTGAAATGTTGTATGCAGAAAAATTAGTACGAAACCATAGATTTTAAATGAAATATTTTTTTGCCCGGAATTTAGAGAATTTCAAAATTTGCATAACTTTATAATTACAATAATTAAAAATGCATTTCACCAATTAAATAAACTCTCCTTTTGGGTTCAAGCCTGTTTGGTTCAAAATAAAACTTAAATTTAAAACTAATCCATGAAAAAATCTACTTTTGAATTACGCATGGTAGTACAATATTGTACAAGTAAAAATTTTTCTTTTTAGCTAATATTTTTAATTTGGTAAATTTAAACTAGTGTTGGGACTTAAGGAGCTGTGTGAAGTTATCTGTGAAGATTTGTAATAAATAGAGTTTTTATTAAAGTTTAGCTTTCAGATTGAAAAAAAAAAAAACACTGAGAACTTTACCTTTTTACTTTACGCAATTTGTTTTAAGCTACATTTAAACTGTCATTTGATGTCAAATGTTTAAGTTATGTTCATGTTTTTGGTTGAATTGATTACTGCGTAAATTAATGACTACGTTCGTAATCCACGTAACCTACGTAAATTAATGACTCTCATTCTTTGCTAATATTTATTTTCTATTCCCTGATAATGTAAATTGATTTTTGAAAAATTCCAGCATTGGAGAAATACTAAAACGTGTTAGTTTATTAAATAAACAGTAGAATAAATCGTGAAACAGCATTAAATTTGAAGACCTCAAAAGCACTATTATGAGGAAGCTTTTAATTTTTAACTCAAAATAGCACAGCAAAAAGCAACAAAACTTTACACGGGAAACAATTTTATATAAAATCTCAAAGTAAAGGTAAGCTTAATACTAAAAAATTAGGTTTAATATAAAATTAAAAAAATGTATGTCTTTTCACTTAAAGTAATTACTTTGAAGAAAATTTTTTTTCTCTCCTTTTTAATTTATTTTAAAACTCAAAATTCTGTTTGTTACATACCATTAAATAAATGCTATAAATCTCGCATAAAATTTAATATCCTATTGGAAAAATATTCAAATATGGAAAAACCATATTCAAAAAGCATAAGCGAAATGTCCTGGAAAATATTCTTTTTAGAAACTAAAACTGGAACCATGAAAGCTAGTATCAGAAGAAGCATTCGTGACTAAAACTTAATTCTTTTCTTATGGGTTATAAAGTGTTGCGACTGTTGGCTTGGGACTAAATTGCTAAATTTAAGGTTTAAATGTATTTAATTGGATACAGATATCAACGTTTTAAATATTTGCAAAATTCTATCTGATATGTAATTTATCCATTTTGAAACGCGCAACTGTCTTTAAAGTTGTTCTGTATATTCTTGGTGAATTTCATGTGATATTTGTTATCTTGTAACATTATCTATATCTCTTGTAGTAATATAACTTATTGCCTAAACCAGTTTTTCCCAAAGATTGTTAATGGTTTGTAAAATGTATTGATTTATAATCACACAAGCTAAACTAGATAAAAAGTTGATCTGACTGTTAATATTTATTGATATAGATTCGATGTCAACCTTATAATCCTTTTACAAAATTGGTTTTGATATTTTTACAAACTGTTGTATCAGTGTTAAACAAATTAAAGTGAGATTTCAGAGTTACTGTGTATTTTAACGGATAGTTTATAGCAATAGCAAAAATAGTTTATAGCAGAGTTTATAAATGCTTTTTTTTTTAGGTGTAAAGAGCAGAACAGGCTGTGCAACATGTTACATTGTAGAATATTTCGATTAAACTGCTAACTTTAATATAGCACCATAAAATTTTAACTTATATTTCGGATTTAAAATACGCAGTTACTTCGAGCAATATTAAAGACAATATTCGGCAACTTTTTATTGGAAAAGCTTCACAATGCGTAAAGCGATAAATCAACGAACAGATTTAACTTCGTGTAATTTTTATGAAATATTTAATTACAATAATAGGCATTCTAAAACTAAAATTTAAAAGAGAATTAAGACACGGAATGGAAGTTTGAAATGTTAAAACAAACCACTTTGTATTTTTAAAAAATTTATTTGTTAACCGAACCGAGGATCATAATCTTTCAGAAGCTAGTACTGAAAGAATGAAATTACGGTAGTTGCAATGTACTAGCGTATTGTGGTCCTCGGAAAAGGTTTAAATATATATAATTTTACTAAAATTTAATAGTAAATGCTTAAATTTAGTCTTAAATATGCACTTGCATGTGCATAAATGCATATGCACTTGGCAAATCAAGATCTACGCTTCATACGGCTAAAGATTTCTTTAAAGCAGATTAGAAATTTAATTCAAAATATAGTGCTGTTACAGTTTTGAAATGTCTTAAACCTTTTAAAAATTCAATGTGTCTTTTTGTAAAGAGGCAATCTTAAATTTGGATCCATTTAAGAGAACCTATTTTCAAAAAGATTCAAATTATACAAAAGGAAATGTTATATTTTAGCGATTTTAAATTTAGATAATTTGTTTTATAACTAGTTATTTTAAATAAATTGTAATTGTAAATATTTCACTAAAAATAAAACTAGGAATAAAATTGCTAGTCTCATTTGTTAAAAGAACGAAACAGATTTAATGCAACACGTACAAATTGAATGTTTAAGTTTTTATAATTTGCAATCTAACAATTTGCATATGCTTATTTTGGTCATTGCATGGAGCTTTTTAAGTTTAATCGCATGGACTAGTTTTCTTTAGAAAAATGTACTGAATTTTTAATGTTACATTGCATCTGTATTTGTATAGCTGTTACACCAATGTATTTATTCTGCTGAAGTGTTCAGCTCTGAAACTTAAAATATATGCTGTAAAACTTTAAACAAGTAATGTAATCAGTGTGTGTGTTAATAAATTTCAAACGTGTAATGTAATCTCGGTCCGTGTTTTATAAATAATTTTGATTCTGATAGTTTTGAGTCTCTTAGTTTTAGTAAATGTGTCTTCAAACTAAAATTGTTAATATCTTGCTCTTCAAAAAAGTTTCTCGACTGGACTCAACCATCTGAGAGCTGCGGACTAGAAGGGGATGATTTTATTCATTTTTATGTTCACAAATAGATTTAGTCAATTTGGCAGCATTATTCTGAAACATTCTAAATGTAAGGTAATCGTACACAATGAGACAGATGTCACTATTTTAAAATTTCTTTTAATTTCTTCTGACAAAATGACTTGCATTTCTGAAGTTTCCATTTTCAGAAATGTAATTTAATATTAAGCGTTTAAATTTTTGGGATATGTTGGTAAAATTTTAAGCTTTTAAGCATTGTTTAAATGAGTTTTGTTTATTTAGGTTCTTAAAACTTTTATTCTTGTTTGGACATGTAGTTTGTAAGTTATCTGATCAAAACTACTAACCGCTCAAGCTTTCTAAAGAGATGAGGAAAAAAAAAAAAAAAAACTCCGCTTTTCAATGGTTTGTGCCAAATGATGCTCAGTTACATTTAAACACTTGAAAATCAAACCTAAACTGCAGTTGTGTATCCCAAACTTTTGAAATACAAATTTAGTCTATAAGACTATCACCATGGTCACATTTAACTTCTAAATTTTTTCCTGAACTGTTGAATGAGCATAGTTTAATTCATCTTTTGGTTTCAAAACTTCTGTTAATGCTTTAACTACATAAAATTTTTTGAAAGTTCAAAAGTGTAAAGTTTTGAATGAAACAAAAATTTTAGGTTTTTTGGAATTTGCATGAAAAGCTAAATTTTAATTTACAAAAACTTATTTTCAAACAAATCTTTAGGTTACATTCTAAAGAATTTCCACGATACTTAATAAAATGTATGAAATAAAACGATTACTTTAATTTTTAACTTCGCATTTTTAAAATGACATTTTTTTTTAATCTTTAATTTTTGAATCCAAAATCTTTTTGAAAATAATATTTTTCAATTTTACTCCAATTTTTTTTTATGAATGTAGGACCTAGAAAGAATACTTACTATTGGCTTAATTTCCTTGATGCACCGTAATATGCAGTCTATTTCATTGAGTAGAATTAACGGTATTTATTATTGTTTCCAAGAACTGAAATTCTTTTAAAATAGTCATTACAAAATTATTTCAGAATGAACTACTGAACAAACTTGAATCATAATCATTGAAATGTTAAATCATGGCTGCCTAGGTAGACAATATATTTAATTTTAAAATAATAAAACTTTCACCTTGTCTGGTACGGGAAAAATTCGTGTGCTGGTAATCCTAAACTACGCAGTTAATCTGTTTTCCAAAAGCTGTTGTCATTAATGCCTTTTAGTGAATTATTCCATTTTTATAATCATTGTAAGTCCTAAACAGACATTAACCGTTAAATCCTTAACAATTTCTAAGTAGGATTTTTTTGTACTGATAACAAAAATTGTACAAAATTGCTCAATGAGGAAAATTTACAATCTTTTAAAAAATTAAGAGTTCGTAAACTAAATTTAAACCTATAGGCAGTAAAGATTTGAAGAGAAGTGGTTGGGTATACTT